CAGGATCCTAAAAGCAAAGGCTACCACCTACTCCAGAGCCCAGTGGTGTATAATATCTTCCAAGGGGCCACATACAATCTTTCCACAAGTAGGCATTTTTCTTCAATGTACTTTACCTCCACCTATTCCAAACTTCCTCCAACCTGTAGCAAATGCAGCCAAAAAAACCACCAAAACAAACTCCTGCATTTTTTTCTATTGGTATCTGTTACTATTAAAATATTCTTGAGTGCACTCAGCGCAACATTATCAAGAAAAGTAATATAACCTCCTACTGATCTCCCAACAAGAACATCCAAAGTAGAATAGGCTATACAGAGATTAAGCTGGAAAAGACTTCAGACTCACAGAAGTCTGTTGGGTATAAACCAAGGTAATTTATGCAATGTACCAGAAACAAGCTTGTGGCCTCTGCAAAGGCATCATTTCAGAATCCTTTAAGATAGTAAGGCCAAAGCTCATAGTGAAATGAATCTATTTCACCCTACAAACTACACTGTTATCTAATACTAACATAACTGATCTCCTCTACCAAATAAAGTACCTGAAAACAGTTCAAAAATTGTGTGACAGCAGCATTACCTTGATGCAAGTGACAAGAATACTATTCTTTGTTTACTCAGGAGAATATTGAAATAATATGAAGTACCAAGTCCACACAGTAGGAGTGATAATCCCTTTCTAGAGGGAGGTCTGAAGCAACACCTGTAAGGTGCATTGATATATTTAACAAATCCTGGAGGTAAAAGATAGTAACTTCATTTTAAATGGAGAACAGACATTTCTTGTCTAGTAAACAAACTGTTAACATTCCTGCATTGATAAGAGGCATAAACAAGCAAACCAGTCTTGTTCTTCAGGGGAGCAACTCTATCTAGTCCCTCTTAGACTCACAGAACCTAACTAGTGGCTTACTTATACCTGCCTGTAATTGTGAGTTCAAGTCATCACCTTCTTTTAGCCTAAGGCTACGAAGTACAGAGAGATGTGGTAGGAAATAAGGATTTTCCCTTGATGTAACTTTTGTCTGTTGCCTTTTATCGCACCCTTCTGAGAAGAGTTTGGATGCAGCATCTCTATAACCCTCCCAGTAATTCACTGAGGACAGCTACTAACTGAAGAAATACAATGAGACACTGAGGGGCCTGAATGTCAAAAACCAGCATGCTAGGTATGAAAACAAATATGGTGCTGATAACATCTCTTCCTTCCTTTTTAGCGTTGTTCAGGGGAGTTAAGAGCAGTTAGTAAATACCTCTGCCTTACAAAGGTCAGTGTTTACCTAACAGCGTGGAGATAAATGTTTCCTGCGGTACCACCTATGCAGATGCATTTATGTCACTGCTAATATTCAGAGGATCAGTAGCCTCCTGCGGTTAAAACCACACTGATGCAGACTGTCTGTCCTTGCATGCACATCTGTCTGCAGGCAGCTTTCAGTCTCCTTAAGTCCTTTGTACCACAGTCTACTATGAAACTGTAGATAATGCGAGCAAGCTCTCGGTTACCATGATGATATGCAGCCCTGTACAAATCATTTATGAGCTATTTACGAAGTAATCAAAATTGTATGCATTATTTAATAAAACAAAATCTTTAAGACTTCCCAGGAAAATCTCAGCAAACAAGCAGGAATTGGAATGCCCAGGGTCCAGGTTAAACACTAAACATCCTGAATCATCAACTCAGACAGATAAATAGAGGGTAACAATTACTTTTTTATCTTGCTTTGTATCCACGGTTTCTTCTTTGTAGTGGAACTCAAGTGTGTACTAAGAGTGCACACCTCCTTCAAACACATAATGTTCACGTTGTCTTTACCAACAACAGCTCTTTGATTTTAATCAAGTTTTATACATGCCAAATCACTTAAAATTACAG